AGGGTTTCACTATCTTGGACAGGCTGGTCTTGAACTCCTGACCTTGTGATCCGCCTGCCTTGGCCTCCCAAAGTGCTGGGATTACAGGCATGAGCCATTGTGCCCAGCCCTATTTTTTATTATTTTTTTATTTTTTCTGAGATGGAGTCTTGCTCTGTCACCTAGGCTTGAGTGCAGTGGCACAATCTTGGCTCATTGCAGCCTCCACCTCCTGGGTTCAAACAATTCTCCTTCCTCAGCCTCCCAAGTAGCTGGGATTACAGGTGTGCGCCGCCACGCCAGCTAATTTTTCTATCTTTAGTAGAGACAGTGTTTTGCCATGTTGACCAGGCTGGTCTCAAACTCCTGACCTCAGGTGATTGGCCCGCCTCAGCCTCCCAAAGTGCTGGGATTACAGGTGTGAGCCACCGTGCCCGGCCCATGTTACCCCATTTTTAAAGGAGGGGACATTGAGGCAACAAAGCTGGGGGATGGCAGGGTCAGAATGCACATCAAGGTTTGTCTGACTCCTGTGCCCACCCCAAGTGCCTGGCCACCTGACCCCTCCCACAGGGACACCGCTCCCATCCCCTGGGCCTCCCGCCTTCCACTGGGGGTCACCCTCTCCTTTGGGCTTCACGCACCACTTGGTGGAGTCTGGAAGTCTTTGTGGAAGTGAATGGACTTGGGGGCCAGGCTGGGGGTCAAGGTGGGCAGGTCCTGGCTGTGCAGCCCCCTGGGCCAGACTCCTCCAAACTCAGCCTCTGCCCGGTCAAAGCTGCCCCCATGACCAGGACTGCTGTATAGAGTTGCGCAGGTTGCAACCTGTACGCCTGTACATGGCGGCCCTGCTAAGCATCCCGACAGCGCTAGAGATTCCCAATTCCAGGAGGCCTCTGGGCTGTGCTTCGAGAAGGACAACAACAATGTAGAGGCTACCCAGGGCGAATGAGAGTCCTCTAGGAAGCAGATAAGCAGGTGAATGCTTTCCAGGGCCTGCGGGAAGGGAGGAAGGAAGAGTGACAGCGTCATGGGTGTGTTTTCTTTTGGAGCAATTAAAATGTTCCAAAACTGGAAAGTGGAGTTGGCTGCACATGCATCTTGTGAATATAACAAAAGCCATGGGTTTGCACACTAAGAAACAGTTAAAATGGTAACTTATGTGCATTTTTTGTTTTTGAGACGGAGTCTCACTCTGTTGTCCAGGCTGGAGTGCAGTGGCTCTATCTCAGCTCACTGCAACCTCTGCCTCCCGGGTTCAAGCCATTCTCCTGCCTCAGCCCCCTGGAGTAGCTGGGATTACAGGCATGTACTGCCATGCCTGGCTAATTTTCGTATTTTTACTAGAGATGGGGTTTAGCCATGTTGGCCAGGCTGGTCTTAAACTCCTGACCTCAGGTGATCCACCCGCGTCAGCCTCCCAAAGCGTTGGGATTATAGGTGTGAGCCACTGCGCCCAGCCCAATTTGCTGCAGTAAAATTAAGCTGGGCACCTTACCCTGCCTGCTGCATCCTCTCCCTCTTCAGAGCCATCCCAGGGCCGCTTATGTATTCCAGGACCCAGATCAGGGTCTGGACGCTGGGTCCTGCCACTCCTAACACCCTCTTTAACCTCCATTCTTAGTGTCACACTGAGCCATCCAACTCAGGACACTCCCAGCCGGATGCCTTCCAGGAACATCTGCCTTGGGATTGGGTCCAGTGTTTTACTCAGACAAACCCATCAGTAATGGCTGAATCTTCTCTGGCAGTGGCCTGCCTGCTGGGAAGACATTCAGAGACATAGGGTGGTTTCTGAACTTCCCAAAAGCCACCTCCCCACAAGGCAGCTTTGGCTGGGCCATTCTGGCAGGGCAGGTGGGATGCAGATAGAGGCTGAAGATCCTGCCCTGGGACTGTCTTCACACCTAGCACCCCTGGGGGAACCAGCCCACCCTCGTGGTGCCTTCTTGTCCTGGGGCCAGGGTGCCTGGAGAGCTTGCAGTTCAGGGTTTTCCTGAAATCACATCTTCCCTGAGCGTCAGCTGCAGCTCTGGGAGAATAAGTCACTGGAGAACCAGAGTCCTGGGTTTGAGTTTCTTACCAACTGTGTGGCCTGGGTCAAGTTACTCAGTCTCTCTGTGACTTAGTTTCATTGCATGTAAAATGAGGATTAAAATAATTTTGACTGTATGTGGTTTTTAATTGAGATGAAAGCCATGTGACATAAAATTAACCATTTTAATATGTACAGTTCAGTGGCATGTGCATTTGCAATGTTGTGCAATCACCACCTCTATCAAGTTCCAAGACATTTTAATTGCTCTGGTATTGCTTTGAGGATTAACTGCATTTGAGTTTGTAAAGTTTTGGTATGGTGCCAGGTATACTAAGTGCCAATGGAGTGTCAGTAAGTGGTAGGAATAATTAGTAGAACAGTGTTAATAATAGGTAACTGGCCCCGGTCGAGGTGGCTCACACCTGTAATCCCAGCACTTTGGGAGGCTGATGTGGGTGGATCACCTGAGGTCAGAAGCTAGAGACCAGCCTGGCCAACATGACGAAATCCTGTCTCTACTAAAAACACAGAAATTAACTGGGCGTGGTGGTGCATGCCTGTAATCCCAGCTAGTCAGGAGGCTGAGGCAGGAGAATTGCTTGAACCCAGGAGGTGGAGATTGCAGTGAACCGAGATTGCACCACGGCACTCCAGCCTGGACAACACAGCAAGACTGCATCTAAAAAAAAAAAAAAAATGTAGCTGGAGTGGGTGGTGGTGATATTATTAATTCCCTTCCCTGGGGCTGGAGGAGGAGAGAGTGAGGTTCCAGTCCCTGGTTTCCACTTTGAGCTCTGTGTACCCACAGGGCTGTCACACCTCTGTCTCCCACACAGAGTCATTGTCCTCCCTCAATGTTGGGCGGCAGAAGAAGCGGACTTAACGCCTTCGGTGCTGGTCACAGCAGCTCGTAGTGTTAAGGTTCACTTTGTTCCATGGTGATGCCTGGGCACAGGTGGACATTTCCTGGATGAGCCTGGGTTAGAGGAGTCTTCCCTGGACCCTATGTCCCCCCACTACTCACCCTTGTGCTTATTTCGGGAGCCATGGACTATCATTTGCTGCCACCTTGTGACAGGGATGGGAACTTTGTGTCCCATTTCCATCCTTGATAATCTTAGACAACAGAGTACTGGGCATCGGCTGTCTGCCTGCCAGGTCCCCAGTAAGACCTTTACCAACATGCAGGCAAGTGAATAAGGCAGCCACAGCCCCTGCTTTCAGGGAGCTCCCAGTGTCCTGAGAGAGACCGCCAGGAACCCACAATAGATAAAATGAACAAACACAATGATGAAAATGTGATGCAGGCTAGGAAGGAAAGAGAGGTGGTTTTCACTGGGTGCAATGGCATATCTGAAAAAATATCAGGGGTTGTCCATTTCCCTGGCCACCTCTGATTTCCCTCGCATGAAGGGGTGAATTCAGCCAGTGCTGGCACATAGTAGGTGCTCAATAAATGTTGAATGAGTGAATACATGGATGACAGTGCTGTTTAGAACCAGCTTTTTGGCTCTTGTAGGCCACACAGTTGAGGAGCAGCAAGGCAGGATCTCTGGGAGCAAGGTTGGTCCCCTGGGAGTCCTGGGAGGGCTTGAAGGGGTTAAGTGTGAGCTAAAATGAGGGTGATGGGCAAATGTCACTCTCCCAAGGGAAGCCTCAGTGCTCCTCACTTGTTTGTTTGTTTATTTAGAGGAGAGTTTTGCTTTGTTGCCCAGGCTGGAGGGCAGTGGCCAGGTAACAGCTCATTGCAGTTTCGAACTTCTGGGCTCAAGGGATCCTCCTGCCTCAGCCTCTTGAGTAGCTGGGACCACAGGCACACGACTGCAAGCCTGGCTAATTTTTTTTTTTTTTTTTTTTTTTTTTTGAGATTGAGTTTCGTTCTTGTTGCCCAGGCTGGAGTGCAGTGGCGTGGTCTCAGCTCACTGCAACCTCCGCTTCCCTGATTCAAGCCATTTTCCTGTCTCGGCCTCCCAGGTAGCTGGGATTACAGGCATGCACCACCATGCTCAGCTATTTCTTTTTTGTTTTTTTAGTAGAGATGAGATTTCACCTTGTTTGCCAGGCTGGTCTCGAACTCTTGACCTCAGGTGATCTGTCCGCCTTGGCCTCCTGAAGTGTTGGGATTACAGGCATGAGCCACAGTGCCCAGCCTACTTAAATTTTTTTTTTTTTTTTTTTTGTAGAGATGGGGTCTTGCTATGTCACCCAGGCTGGTCTCCAACTCCTGAGTTCAAGCGATCTTCCCGCCTGGGCTTCCCAAAGCGTTGGGATTACAGGCATGAGCCACGACGCCTGGCCTCCTCCCTGTTTTTAATTGTCCTCTCTCTCCTCTGGCTTCTTGAGCCCCTCCCCTGTTTATTTTTCTCTCCTTACCATTTTTTACCACCTCACACATCATATGTTTTGCCTTATTGCCTGTCTCCTCACCGGAATATAAACTCCACCAGGGTTTGCATTCGTGGTGTTGCTCGCCGGCAGCTGCCCAGCTCCTGGACCCGGCGCTGTGAAGGTGTGCAGAGTGAGCGAAGGTGTATGCGCGGGGCGTGGGTTGGGGACAGGTGGATGAGCCGGTCAAACCCAGGTGCAGCGGGATGAGAGAGAGGTTAATTTGAGCAAGGAAAGACGTAAACTGTGCTAATCTACAAATGTAAACAGTACTAAGAGGGGCATGTCGGCCCGGACGCAGGATCCGCTTACGGACAGAGCTAGATTGTGGGGGGTCTTCCTAGGGCCGTACCATTCCCGAAGCCGAGGGCCTTAGGGGCGGGGCCAGTGCAGGGGGCGGGGGCTTCCTGAGGTGCGACCAATCTGCAGAAAGGGCTGGGATGCGGGCGTGGTCAAGCAAGAGACATGTTAAATAAGGGGCGGGGATAGAACCAGGGTGGAGTCAGTCTGGGGCGGGGCCAGAGTGAGGCGGGACCAGTCAGGGGGCAGGGCAAACCTGGGCGGGGCCATGGCCGGGACATGGGCGGGGCCAGATCAGGGGCGGGGCCACGACAGGATCTCCGCTGTCCCGGGTGCTGGAACGCTCTCCGCCAGGAAGGTCTCGCTCCCTCCCCTCCTGCCCTCCCTGGCTGTCCAAGTCGCAGGGTACTCAAGGCGGGACTCCCCAGGCTAGGGAGCCGCGATCGGGCCCCGCCCCAGGCGCTTCGCTCCGGGCCAGGCGGCCGCGAGAGCCCGGGAGCGCTCCGCTCCCCAGCCCGGCGGGCTTCCAGGGCACTTCCCCTAGGCTGCGTTCCCGAAAGCTCCCGAGAGCGAGGGTGAGCAAAGCTGCGGGAACCTGTGTGTGCATGTGTGTGCGAGTGTCTCTACGTGTGTGTACATGTGTGTGTATGTGCGCACGGGTGTGTGCACACCAGGGGAATTGTGTGTGTGGAGTTGGGCAGGTGCGTGTTTCAGGGAGCTGGATGTGTGTGTGTGCAAAGTTGGAGGCGTGAGCAAGGGCAGTCCCGTGTGGGAGAGGAACCTGCGTGTGTGCATATGTGTGGCAGAGACAGTGCCTGTGAAATGTGGTGAAGGATGTGCGTGTAGCCAGGTTGTCTGGGAGGAAAATGGGAGGGCAGGTGCAAGGAGACTTGGGGGTGGGCTGTAGGCCAGGACGTCTGTGACAAGCTGCGGGGTGCATGCGTGAAGAGAACCGTGGGAGTGTAAGAACTGCAAACGTGTGTGTGTGTCTGTGAGGGTGGCAGTGAGGCTTCTGTGGGCCCTCAGTTTGAAGAGGTGGGGGTAGAGGAAAGTTTGGAGGTGCTGATTTCTTTTGGAAGGCTGCGTGTGGTCTGGGGCCATGGCTAATGGCAGAGGAACTGTTGGGGCCTGGCCTGGAGTAATTTGGGGATTATATCAGCCTTCTCACTTTGAAGGCTGGCCAGCTGTGTGGGTGGGACCAGGGGCTGCCCCGCTCACTTGGTGGGTGATATCCCTGCTTCCCTCCAGGGGAGCTGTGACCTCATCAGTCACCCCTCACCCCAGGCTCTGTGCTCACCCCTGCCTGGTGGCTTCCGTTGGTGCTCCGGCGTGAACATGGTGCAGAGATACCAGTCTCCTGTCCGAGTCTACAAGTACCCATTTGAGCTGGTCATGGCGGTGAGTGACTCCTGATTCTTGGGCCTCCCACGTGACAGTTGGAGGGACTTGAGATCAGCTATGGTGGGAGGAAGACAGAGCTCCTTAGACTCCCAGATCAGAAGGAATTACTGCGCTACTCAGCTGACCTGGTGGGTTTAACTTCTAACTAGTGGCCCCTCTATCCCACCATCCTATCCTTGGCCCAGTGACCAAAACACAAGATCTTTCTTCCTTCCCGTTGTTGAAGCTGACATGCTCCCTTACTTTAGAGTCTCCTGACAGAAAACAAAGGTATCAGGGGCCAAGCCACTGCCATCATTTCATGTAATGGCATAATCACAGTGATAAATGGAATGGTGGTGGTGATGACAGCAGTTGTTCATTGAATGTTTATAGCACTGTCTTTACAAATCATGTTTTTTCCAATTCCCAATAGCTGTTATTATTTGTATTTTACCTCCCTGAAACTGAGGCTTGGACAGGTGAAGGGATGATGGCAAGTCCTGTAGCTAGGAAGAGGTGCAGTCAGGGGGCTCAGATCCCTGCAGAGCAGACTCTAGAACCTCACATTTAACCACAGCGCCCTCCTTCTGCTCACAGACCCTCTTTCCTCTCCTTCAAGGAAGCTGACACCAGGAGGAGAGAGGGAGTGGGAGGGCGGGTTTGCTCTGTGTTGCGCAGCAAGTCAGTTGGATGCCTAGAATTGGCTGCCAGATTCTTGGCCTCCTGGATCACTGGTCTTTGCACCCTGGGGCAGGAGCTGGAGATAGGTGGAAGTGGGATTCCTTCTTGGCTCCATCCCTCTGCCTCTCGGAGCTTCACTTCCTTGCTCCATAATACGGGGGCAATGCTGTGAGGTTGTGGGGAGGAGTAAATGAGATAATTCTTCGTGCTCCTGGCTGTGTGTTGGACACTCAGTAGAAGCTCACAAAATATGCTGTCCCTGTTACTACACCGAAGTCTTGTAAATTAATGCATTGAAAGTGTACAAAACACTAGAATCCACCTCCGTCTGTCCTACCCCAGCACTGACTGCTTAACCCCGGCCTTCTATCCAGGGACTTTCATATCTCTTGGTGGCTATGTGTTCTGTCTTATTCTAAGAATCTACACACATGTATGTTTATTGTCACACAGAGGATTTAAAAGCATCATTAAAATCATCCATTTACATTGCACTGTTACAGGCAGATGGTTCAAGGACAGCAAAGAGGCAGGAACTAGCGTGGGGTCATATTCTAGCTCCCTGACTGACTAGCTGAGTGACCGTGGGGCAAGTCTCTTCACCACCACGAGCCTCCACTACCCATCTCTAAAATGGGAATCTCCTGGCTTCCAAATCCTGGTGTCACGCTGTGGATTACATGAATCAATGTGTATAAAGCTCCTGGTACAGGGCTGACACAGATCAAATGCTCACTGAGCTCCAGCCATGATTGTTACTGTTTTTGTCTGTGGCTGTGTGACTTTGCTTCTGTGTAATGGAAATGGAACACCAGGGGATGGTGAAGTGATCCAGGGATGTGGATTCGGAAGCCTGAGGGCTCCGCTGTGCTCTACCATGCTTTCTCTGGCTGTATATCTTTAGAAAGTTGCTGAACTTTTCTGAGCCCATTTCTTTTTATTTTGTGACTGATTCTCACTCTATTGGCCAGGCTGGTGTGCAGCAGCGCGATCTTGGCTCACTGCAACCTCCGCCTCCCGTGTTCAGGTGATTCTCCTGCCTCAGACCTCGTCTCTCCTAAAAATACTAAGTTAGCTGGGAGCCGTGTAGTGCACTTGTAATCCCAGCTGCTCAGGAGGCTGAGGCAGGAGAATCACTTGAACCCAGGAGGTGGAGGTTTCAGGGAGCCGAGATCGTGGCACTGTATTCCAGCCTGGGTGAAGAGTGAAACTCCATCTCAAAAAAAAAGAAAAGAAAAGAAAAGAAAACAATCTTTATTATTTGTACTTAATTTAAATTATTTGTATTTTTCAAAGGGACTACAAAACAACCATGTCATCCTGTCTTCCATAGAGTCCTTGTCTGTGAAATGGTCCCAAGCCACAGCAACACTGACAACAAAGCCACTTTGCCGACTGTTGACAAAACATTACTGTCCCCAAAATAGCTGCATAACTCACCATAACTTGCACACTGTGGAGGCACAGAAGGGGTTTTCTGTACTTAATGTTCGTCTTTGTTTCTCAGTTAAACACTTGCTCTCAGTGTGGGTCAGATGCTGGGGAAGTTTCAGATGAACTCAGCTATTTTCACTGCATCCAAGTGACTAGAAAACCTGGCCTTTCAGTTTTTCTAACAAAACTGACTTCAGAATCAAAATGCCCCTTGCTTCTTCAAAAGTCCACTGTCAGTGACACAAAGGACTGAAACTGGGTTTTGAGGAATTGGTTACAAAATTGCTAGACGTGGCTTTAAAATTTTTTTAAAATTAATTCTCTCACTTCAAAAATTTATCTAGTCAAATGAATGGACATCTCTCTCCAAATCCCTTCACATGAAATTTGCTTATAAAGGGAAGGATTCTAGGGGATCTTTCCTCCCTCAACTTTTTTATTTTTTTTTTAAGACAAAATCTTGCTCTGTGGCCCAGGCTGGAGTGCAGCAGTGCGATCTTGGCTGACTGCAACCTCCACCTTCTGGGTTCAAGCAATTCTCCTGCCTCATCCTCCTGAGTAGCTGGGATTACAGGCGTGTACCACCACACTCGACTAATTTTTGTATTTTTGGTAAAGGCAGCATTTCACCATGTTGGCCAGGCTACTCTCGAACTCCTTACCTCAAGCAATCTGCCTGTCTTGGCCTCCCAAAGTGCTGGGATAACAGGCATGAGCCACTGCACCTGGCCTTTGCTCCTTTTTTTTTCCTTTCTTTTTGAGACAGGGTCTTGCTCTGTTGCCCAGGTTGGAGTCCAGTGGTGCAATCATGGATCACCATAGCCTTGACCTCCTGGCCTCAAGCCATCCTCCTGCCTTAGCCTCCAGAGTAGCTGGGTGCACAGGCATGCACCACCGTGCCTGGCTAATTTTTAAATTTTTATATATCAAAAGTTATATATACATTTATAGAAATGAGATCTCACTCTGTTGCCCAGGCTGATCTTGAACTTCCGGGCTCAAGTGATCTCCCGCCTTGGCCTCTCAAAGTGCTTGGATTACAGGCACTAGCTACCACGCCCAGCCTTCCTTTTTCTCCTGACAGCATTCTGTATCATTGGATTCAAGACAGTGAGCTTTTATTATCTTGGTAAACAGAAAAAAAACAATTAAGACAATGGAGGCAGCTGGAGTATTCAGTGTTGAAGAGGGTCCGACAGTCCTTTGAATGCCCAGGTCCCAGAAGGTGTGTGGGTGGCGGTGTCTCGTGGAGACCCTTGCATAGAGGAAGCAAAGGCTGTGTCTTACGCTGTGGGGTCAGGTCACCCGGGTCCCAAAGGCCATGCTCTGCCCAGGCTATTTTGAGTCGAACCTAGGTTATCTGTCTCTTTTCCCAAGTGGGTGGTGATTAAGAACCAGACCCACCAGGCTCTATCTCTGTCCCAGGCCTCAGCACATTCCCCAATTCTTCTTCTTCTTCTTCTTTTTTTTTTTGAGACCGAATCTCGCTCTGTCACCTAGGCTGGAGTTCAATGGCATGGTCTTGGCTCACTGCAACCTCCACCTCCCGGGTTCAAGAACTTTTCCTAGGCCGGGCGCGGTGGCTCAAGCCTGTAATCCCAGCACTGTGGGAGGCTGAGGCGGGTGGATCACGATGTCAAGAGATTGAGACCATCCTGGTCAACATGGTGAAACCCCGTCTCTACTAAAACTACAAAAAATTAGCTGGGCATGGTGGTACATGCCTGTAATCCCAGCGACTCAGGAGGCTGAGGCAGGAGAATTGCCTGAACCCGGGAGCAGAGGTTGCGGCGAGCCGAGATCGCACCATTGCACTCCAGCCTGGGTAACAAGAGCAAAACTCCGTCTCAAAAAAAAAAATAAAATAAAATAAAATAAAATAAAATAAAAAAAAAAAAAAGAACTTTTCCTGCCTCAGCCTCCTGAGTAGCTGGGATTACAGGTGCCCACCACCATGCCCGGCTAAATTTTTGTGTTTTTGTAGAGATGGGGTTTCACCATGTTGGCTAGGCTGATCTCAAACTGCTGTCCTCAGGTGATCCACCCGCCTCGGTCTCCCAAAGTGGTGGGATTATAGGCCTGAGCCACTGCACCCAGCCCCAGACACTGTTCTGAGTCCATTCACTTGGTAACTCCTCATAGCCACCCCGTGAGATGAGTTCTGTGGGTAGCCTATTCAACAGAGGAGGAGACTAAGGATGAGAGGCTTATTCAAGCCTCCAAAGCAAGCATGTAGCAGGCAGGGACTCAACTTCCGGCAGTTTGGCTCCAGATTTTACATTCCCAACTATGAGCTCAACCGTTTCTCAGAGCTGGATGAAGGATCTGAAGTCACTGGGGTGGCATCTGGGCCAAGAGTGTGGTCCAGGGGGCAGAGGCAGTTATCATCAGGATGCCTTTACCCCTTCAGAACCCTGCAAAGGAGAACACAGCGCAACCCCCACAGACCCTGGCCCCTGGCACACCAGCCAAGCCCGGGAGCCTTTATAATGCTACCTGTGGCCAGCTCTTTAGGCCAGCTCAGAGGCAGGTCGATTACCACAGCCAGATCTGTAGCAGGAGAGGGAACTGAGGCTCAGCAAGGTCCAGGACACTGTCTGTCAGTGACCAGTGTTTGTGGTTCCACAGAGCCACAAACTGGGTGACTTAAAACATCAGTGTATTGCTTCACTGTTCTGGACGCCAGAAGCCTGAAGTCAAGGTGTCAGGAGGACCACGCTCCCTCTGGAGGGTCTAGGAGGGGATCTGCTCCTGGCCTCTCTCACTCCCAGCCTCAGATCGTTCCTTGACATGGGGCAGCATAACTCTTCACACGGCCACTCACTGTGTCCAGATTTCCCTTTTTATAAGGACACCAGTCATATTAGATTTATAAGGACACTCTGATAAGCTCGCTTTAA